AAAAAAAAAAAAAAAAAAAAAAATTAAGTAAATGCAGAAACAACTGGATCATGGTGTGAGGCCCTGAAACCGAGTCCCTGTCCTCTTTCAAGAAAGCCTGGCCAGAGTACTCCAGCCCCCTGCCCTTCTACCTGCCCCTTCCCTCCAGGAGAAGTTGCTCCAGTACAAGGAACTGCCTTTGACCTGAGGAAGCCGGTGGAGCTTGGAAAACACCTGCAGGAGTTCCGTATCCACGGCTTTGACCACAATTTCTGTCTGAAGGGATCTAAAGACAAGCACTTCTGTGCACGGTAGGTGCTTTTCCCTGACTGCCTGTGTAGGGAGGAAGAGATCTCACCTCCTAGGTGAGGAGTTTTTCCTCTGGCCACCTCGATAGCATTTACTACGCTGCAGGGACCATATACCACATCCCTGTCTTTTCAAAGCTCCTGTTCCGCGGAGCAGCACCACCGAAGGTCTCTCCCCCACCCCCACCACTGCCATGTCTCTTCCCCCGCCCACCCTGTGCTCCCACCTGGCATCCTGTCTCTCTTTGCTCCCTCTCTCCCCATCGGAGCCTGTTCTTTCAGGCCCACTCTTTTGTTAGAAGCCCTAATTCCCCTGGACTGAAGTCAGCTCTGCTTTCCTTGACCTTCCGGAGCCCCGTTTGTGATGCATGGAAAGTCAGAGGCTGCACCTCTCCCAGGGCGCCCACCACCAGCAGCCTGGCCTGCGAGGCATTTGTGTGCACTCTCTCCTCCCCGCTAACCTCCCGGCTCCTCCTGCTACCTCTGTGCATCCCCAGCTCTGCCCGAGCACCTCACCCCACGCGTGGCAATAGCAAATGCACGTCTGTAGAATAAATGGATTTTAAATGAGGCAGAGAAAATGATTCCAACTCTAATGGAAACTTCAAAAGCCTTCTCTCCCTTAGAGCCCCAGTCCCTGTGTTCTTCCAGATGGAGTCCACTCTTCTCCTCTGGCCCATTTCTCTCTCTAGTCTGGAGGACACTCTCTTGCCTACTCTCAATTATTCAAGTCCTGGCCCTCCTCTTCCCAGAACCTCTTGATTGACTACATTGTTGGGATGTTTTACCTCGTTTTTTTAAAAAAAGGAAACCGTGAATCCAGCAGAAACTGACAGCACCTCTGTTCTCGGGGGTGAGATCTGACTAAAAAGCCCAGCCTGCTCTAGCCCCAGGGAAGGGCGACAGTTTAATTTAGACAAGCGTCTCTTCTCTTTCAAAAGACACAGCTGGTGGCTTTGCCAGGTCAAGCAGAGAGCATCAGCTCTTCCTGAGAAAGAATCTCAGCTCCTCCGGAATCTGACAATCTGACAACTGTGTCTCTGCAGCCTGGCCGCCCCCCGCATGCGCGCGCGCGCGCACACACACACACACACACACACACACACACACACACACACACACACAGAGTCTGGCTAGGGTGAGCCTTCCTCAGAGAAGCCAAGATCACAGTGAGAAGTTGCTACTGGAGGATCCTTACTTAGGACCACCTGCTCATGCCTCACCCATGAGACTGCGAGAATTTCCCATCATGCTCTTCCCATCTTTGTCTCCACGTATCTTGTCCCTGCTCTGTCACTGGGTCTAATTACTGTCTCGAGGCTGCTTCCCAGCTCCTACCTGTCCCTGCCAGTTTTTCCGCCCTTGTACCTCTATGATTTGCTTTGTCCCCAGGGTCCATCATGCTAGAAGCGGGCGGGTTCTGGAAGTGTACACCACCCAGCCCGGGGTCCAGTTTTACACGGGCAACTTCCTGGATGGCACGCTGAAGGGCAAGAGTGGAGCAGTCTATCCCAAGCACTCCGGCTTCTGCCTGGAGACCCAGAGCTGGCCTGATGCAGTCAATCAGGTAAAGCTACAGGCCAGCCTCTCAGTGGTGTTGTGTCCAAGGTCACACTGTATGACAGAGGCCACAACCCTCAGGTCAGGTCTGTCTGACTCAAAAGTCCACATGTGTTCTCTTCTCCAAGTCGTGATAAACACAGGAAACCCAGAGCCAAGCTCCTAACATAGCATTTACTTTTTTTTTTAATCTCCTCTATTTTGTGCCTTCGAAGCCTTTACTCAGTTTAACGTTGCTCTTCTCAATCTTATCTTCTGCAACCACGCTTTTAAGATGGCTCTGTTGGGGCGCCTGGGTGGCGCAGTCGGTTAAGCGTCCGACTTCAGCCAGGTCACGATCTCGCGGTCCGTGAGTTCGAGCCCCGCGTCGGGCTCTGGGCTGATGGCTCAGAGCCTGGAGCCTGTTTCCGATTCTGTGTCTCCCTCTCTCTCTGACCCTCCCCCGTTCATGCTCTGTCTCTCTCTGTCCCAAAAATAAACGTTGAAAAAAAAAAAATTTAAAAAAAAGATGGCTCTGTCTTCTCTTCCTATTTGTTTACTGGTAGCTTCTTTTTCTAGCCACTGCCTAGAAAAGTGCTCTTCAAAGCACCAGCTCAAAAGACTGTCTTGCAGTCTTGCCCCAGAATGTGAATCCACACAGCAAGGTCCTGCTACAGCACCATGTGCTCAGCAATGTAGTTGATTTTCATTCTGGCTCAAGTTCTTTATCTCACTGCAAACCAGTTACATTGGCAACTGGTTCTCAGAGCTGGCCTAGAGACCAGTCCAGAAGCCATCCTGAATGGTTGAGGGCACGACCCAGGCCGGCAAGGTGTAACCTGTATTGTTTTTCCCTTCACAGCCCCACTTCCCTCCTGTGCTGCTGAGGCCTGGTGAGGAGTATGACCACACCACTTGGTTCAAGTTTTCTGTCGCTTAAGGAAGTGTAAAGACCCCCAGGGCCAGGCTGGGGGCCCTTCAACAGCCTGTCTCCTGTCCAGAGAGAAGATTTAGAGGCTTTACAAGTGATCCTGTGAATCAAAATCATATAAAGGGTAGCTGCACAATAATTAGTCTGGATCTTGATTTCCTTTCCCAGTGACTGGCTACAGGTTCAGTCTATGACCAGCTCTGTCCTCTGTGTGGTTTAGGGAATCCAACCGCCAAGGTTCTCGCCTAAGCCCTGACCCTAACCCGGAAGGGACACCCAGCCCCTTGCTGTGTTGGCCCCATCTCTCCACCCTTCTTTCTTCTCTCCTTTTTGCCCCTCTTTTCTTTGATCCTACTCTCATTCCGTTTCTTTGTCCTCCTCCCCTACCCTAGGCCACCGCGTCCCTGTGCAGCAATTCAGAGCTCCGACAGACCTCTGATAAGGTGGTAGATGATTGAGGGTGAAGGAGCTGAGGGTTAGGGAGGGCAAATGACCCTCATAAAGGCACACAACCAGAAGTTTTAGCCAAGACGTGACATCAGGTATCCACATTCAAGCCCCCTCTTTGCTTCCATTTCAGTCTGCCAGAGCATTCCCAGGATCGCTGGTGGACATAGGGGGTTCTGACCTTTGTTAGGGCCAGCCTTTCTTCCCAGATTCATGCTTATGGGAAGCATTAGTCTGAGTCTGAGTTTAGCTGTCTCTAAGGATATGACTTAAAGGGCCAGGTCAAAATATCCAGGAAGAAATCTGTAATTTTGATCTCTGCCTTTGGGGTAGAGAAAGCCCCAGCCCAGGCAAGGCGTGGGAAAGAAAGCAGGCCTCTGGAGACAAGAGCTGTGTTAGTGTGGAAAGAGAGCCTTACCTGAGGACTGACTGTAGAGTGCACCTGGCACAAGACGTTGGTATTACATAGTTGAGCCTGGAGCTCCCCCGTTTCCTGAACAATTGAATCATCAGTGATGGGTTGGGGTTGGTGGTTGGTTTAGAGTTTTAAAGAAATCTATCTTCTATTATATGCTAGCAACCAGTTGAAATAAAACCAGAACTTGCACCTTCGGAAGACTCTCAGGGCCTTCGCTCATCTTTAAATCTGTCAGACATGGACCTTTGGGAAACTGACCAAGTGTTGGGTATGTTCCGGATTCCACTGTGCTCTTCCAGTATGAGCCCCAGCACCTTCCTAGAAGAAAGTCACCTAACTGGCCGCCTCCTGAGCTTCCCATACTTCCTTAGTAACAATAAACCAAAAGAAGCATTTATTTTTTTAAATGCATTTCAGCATGAATTTTCTGGATACCTACTGTGTATACAGTTTTCTGCTGAGTCTTTTTTTTTT